GCCACTCTGCAGCCTTCAATACAGGCTAAAGCGATGTAGAAATTGTTTGGGCCTAACAAAAGCTAGGTGATAAGCCCAATCAATAATCCACTATTTTTTTTTTTTGAACAGGGAAGAATGTGAAGGGGGAGAGGGCTGCAAGTTACAGTTTTGAACTTTGGTCGAAACCATGAGTTTAAGTGCACTCGATCAAACTAGTCGAAACTGCAGGTGCAATCAATAATCCACTATTATTTCCTATTTTATTTTTAATTTATATTATTTCTTAAAAAAAAAAACCCCTATAATTTTCTTTTTCTTTTTCTTTTTTTTTTTATTTCCACTGGAGTCATTTTGGATTGGTTCTTTTTCAAAACAGAAATAAGAAATGTTTAGACCCAAGCTGTCCAACAAACAGCAAGCCGTCCAACAGGCAAATTAGGAACTCACCAGAGTGTTCTTGTTGAATGTTTGTTGAATACACACATCAAAAGGGACTCAAATGCCCACATCTGCTTGTCTATGATTTATAAGTTTGGTGTTATTGGGGTTTTCGTTTTTTTCTTTTGGATAATTAGAGTGGCTTTGAATTTTTATATATTTTAAGATTAATTTACCCAAATAATTTTAAAAACACACTTTAATATCATCTTGATACATTAAAGAAAATTAAATTTTTTTGATGGCTGGCAAGACTCCGATCACAAATTCCCACACTGCGAGCTACACACTCGAGACCCAAATCTCTCATATGGAAGCCGAACAACCGAAAACCACCGGGCGCAGGGCTCTCCTCCTGAACTGCATAGTCCTGTCCATCGGCCACTGCACCGGCCCACTTGTGGCGCGCCTCTACTTTCTCCACGGGGGCAACCGCGTCTGGCTCTCCAGCTGGCTCCAAACGGGCGGCTGGCCCATTATTCTCCTCCCTCTCACCATTGCATTCCTCCAGCGCCGCAAAATCGACCCTACATCCAAGTTCTTCCTCATGAAGCTCCGCCTATTCGTCGCCTCCGCAGTAATAGGAGTCATCACAGGTATGGAGAGGCTATGTTAAAAACGTGCGTAAATTAAAGGAAAAAAAATCTTAATCCGTTCTTGCTCACAGGCTGTGATGACTACCTCTACGCTTATGGAGTGGCGCGTCTTCCCGTTTCCACCTATTCCCTTATCATTGCCTCCCAGCTAGCCTTCACCGCCGGTTTTTCCTTCCTCTTGGTGAAGCAGAAGTTCACTTCGTATTCAATAAACGCTGTGTTTCTCCTAACGATAGGGGCGGGGGTTCTGGCTTTGCATACAAGCGGAGACCGACCGAAGGGTGAATCAACTAAAGAGTACGTTATAGGATTTTTGATGATGCTCGGAGCGGCCATGCTTTATGGATTTATTCTGCCACTGGTGGAGTTGATGTACAAGAAGGCAAAGCAAGAGATCAGTTACACTCTTGTTTTGGAAATTCAGATGGTTATGAGTGTTTTTGCCACTGCCTTTTGCACTATCGGCATGATAATTAACAATGATTTCAAGGTCAGTTTCTCGTGTGTGTATATATATATAGATTATATTCTAAAGTGTCTTTATAATGTTGCAAAACAAATTATAGGAAAATTTTCAAATTAAAAGTCTCGAGGTCTAACTTGTCAAGCTATTTAAGTAATAAAGAATAATGCGACCTATTTATTCGATAGGTGATCGTTGTCTTCTCTTAAGATAATTGGAATTATTATATAATATTGCAGGTAATTGGAAGAGAGGCAAGGGAATTCGGGCTGGGGGAATCTAAATACTACACCTTGGTGATTATCACTGCAATGATCTGGCAGTGTTTCTTCGTGGGAGCAATCGGAGTCATCTTCTGTGGCTCGTCTTTGCTGTCTGGGATCATTATTGCAGTTCTAATTCCAGTGATTCAGATCCTAGCCGTGATTTTTTACCGGGAAAGTTTTAAAGCCGAGAAGGGGGTTTCTCTAGCACTCTCCCTTTGGGGTTTCGTCTCCTACTTCTACGGCCAGATAAAGCAAAACAAGAAGAAAAAGAAACAAACTCCAAAGACAGAAATGCCTTCACCCCCTAATCCATGACACTTCCTTCTTTTTCCTTTTTACCCTAGTTATATATATATATATATATATATATATATAAACGTTGTGTCCGGTTGAT